AAAATAATAGTAATAATAAATAAAATTAAGTGATTCTTTAAAAAGAAAAGAAGCAATAGCAGAGGGAGCCAGCAGGTGGCATGGTGGTTAAGGTAGCTGGATTCACATATGGCCCACTGCAGTTTAATTCCCAGACTTTGTGGCTTGTGTGTGCATACATTCCCAAAATCCTGAGAGGAGAAAGCAGGAGAAGAGATTTTGGCATGGCCATCACCCTGGGGGGTGATTTCTCACTTTCCTTCTGTCACTCTCTCTCCTTTCTGGCAAGTGTGCACACCCTATGGAAGAACCTAAAATAAAAATAATAAATTAATTAAAAAAAGGAAGAAGCAGAAAGATTGATGGAGAGAGGGAAATAGAGTAGGTGCTATAATCTCACCTGATTTGGGGCAGGAGTCTTAGTTGTCAGTAGGAAGTTGTATACTGCATAATCTCAAACTTAAGTACGCATCACAATTTCCTAGAGTCTTTGTTAAAACATAGATTGCTGGGGGGAGGGGCAGCAGATGGCATAATATTTACATCGCTGTTGAACGTGGTTCAAGTCCTAGACCCGGTGACTTAAAACTCAAGCCAAACATGTGTGCTCATGGTTCAAGTCCTAGACCCGGTGACTTAAAACTCAAACCAAGCATGTGTGCTTGCTTGCCCAAAATCATGAGAAGAGGAGGAGGAGAAGGGATTGCAGTGTGGCCATCCCCCCTGGGAGGTGATTTCTCACTTTCTGTCTCTGTCTGTCTCTCTGGTGAGTGCACACACCCTATAGCAAAAATCTCTCTTAAAAAAATAAAACAAAACAAAAAAAACCTATAGATTGTTGGGACTCATATCCAGAGTTTCTGATTCAATAGGTCTGGAACGAGGCCTGAGAATTTGGAAGTTCCCAGGAGATGCTGATAATGCTGGTCTGAAGACTACACTTGAAAAATTAATGCTATAACTGGTGCCATATGAGACAAACATGAAAGATTCGGTCAGCCTCTTTCTTTGTTCACATACTACCAAATTGCTAGAATGTTTATCTCTTAGCATTGACCAAACTGATTGTGTTCCTGTACTTTTGATGTAATTCAGGGTAGAGAGGAAGAGAGTTGTGAGATATATGACTGTGGTCTAGTAAAAAAGAGACACCATTTGAAGCCTAGAAAATACTGTTTAGTTCATTCCCTTATGGTGTTTCTCTTTACCGATTATTACCCATCAGCAAGCAAGACATCGAAAACAATACATCTATCCCCTATTTTCTGTTGACGAGAGCATGAGAAAACAAGTCTTTTCACATTCTGGTAGTGGGATGTCAAATGGTACAGTCCTTCTGTACAGCAATTGACTAATACGTGTAATATTCTAAATGTTAATATCTGACCTAGCAATTCTACTTCTGGAAAACTATCAGATGGAATGAATTAAAGATGTACTGCAAAGATACAGGTCACGGAATCGCATTACAAACATAATTTATAAAAACTCCAATTGGGAATAGCCAACTGTCTAGCAATAGAGAATTGGATAAATACTACAGAAAGCTTTGTCACAGAGGAAACCTTAGTGACAATAAAATAAATATGGAGAGGGACCAGCAGATGGCATAATGCTTACATCACTGGATTCCCATATAGTTGACTGTGGTTTGAGTCCTGGACCCAGCGGCTGAAAACTCATACTGGGCATCCTAGGCTCTAGACTGGTTTCTGAACCAATGCGAATCTTTTTAATCAGGTTACTCAACCGGTACACGAGTGTAACTCATCTGTACCTCTTTCAATATATTTTATGCATCCTTAATGCTTTTATTTTGCTACATTGTTTTCACCACTTCCTCTCTAATCCAAAAAGCCTAGGAGCTTCTTCTCCGAGAGAACACCAAATGGCGGATGACGCCGGTGCAGCGGCAGGGCCCGGAGGCCCTGGGGGTCCTGGGATAGGAGGCCTCGGTGGCTTCTGTGGAGGCTTCTCCAGCGGCCCCTGTGGTCCGGCCGTGGCTGCGAAGCTTGCGGAGGTAAGGCCGAGGACAAGGAGTGGATCCCGGTCACCAAGCTGGACCGCCTGGTCAAAGACATGAAGATCAAATCCCTGGAGAAGATCTGTCTCTTCTTCCTGCCCATCAAGGAGTCTGGGATTATCTACTTCTTCCTGGGAGCGTCTGTCAAGGATGAGGTTCTGAAGATCATGCCTGTGCAGAAGCAGACTCGTGCTGGCCAGCAGACCAGGTTCAAGGCATTTGTCGCCATCAAGGACTACAATGGCCATGTTGGTTTGGTGTGAAGTGCTCCAAGGAGGTGGCCACTGCCATCCGAGGGGCCATCATCCTCCCTAAACTCTCCATTGTCCCAGTACAGAGAGGCTACTGGAGGAACAAGATAGGCAAGCCCCACGCTGTCCCTTGCAAGGTGACTGGCCGCTGTGGCTCTGTGCTGGTGTGCCTCATTTCTGCCCCCAGAGGCACTGAAATTGTCTCTGCTCCTGTGCCCAAGAAGCTGCTGCTGATGGCTGGCATTGATGACTCCTACAACTCAGCCCGGGGCTGCACTGCCACCCTGGGCAACTTCGCCAAGGCCACCTTTGATGCCATCTCCAAGACCTACAGTTATCTGACCCCTGACCTCTGGAAAGTGACTGTGTTCACCAAGTCTCCCTATCAGGAATTCACCAACCATCTCATCAAGACTCACACCAGAGTCTCCGTGCAGAGGACACAGGCTTCAGCTGTGGCCACAACATAGGGTTTTCATATAGCGAGAATAAAATGAATTAAGCCTGGGGGGAAAAAAAGCTTAGGAAAGTAAATAAAGTTTAAACACTGAAAAAAAAAATGTATGCTGGGCACATGTACCCAAGATCCCAAGAGAATGACACAGAAAGAATTACAGTGTGTCCATCCTCCTTGGGGGGTGATTTCTTGCTTTCTGTCTCTCTTTCTTTGTCTCTGGCGAGAAGAGCACATGACCCATAGCAAAAATTTCTCTATAAAAATAAATAAATATGGAGATAGATATTACAACTGCTGTGTATATGTGTGATACAATGTTTGGTATTTTGTATTTTACAAAATTTCTGTATATTGTTTTCATGATCAGAAGAAACATTTTCTCTGCCCATCACTTGACACTGTTGCAGAAAAACAGACTCGGATGGAGGAACAGAAAAGGCACTCAGGAGAGAAAGGAGAATTCTTTATTATGCCGGAGAGTGTACATGGAGGAGTTAACACTTTGAATCTCTGGCCCTGACTGGGGGTTGAACATGGTCTTTTATGGGAGTATTGGGGAGGGGAAGTCTCTGGATGTTAGTAATGGGGAAGGGGCTCAGAACCTGCCCTAAAACAGAGGTGGGAGAGAAGCAGGAAATCTAACCTATTTAAGGTTTCAGGTTACTGTGTACCTCTGAGGAGGGGCAGGTAAGTTTGCAGGAGGGCAGAAACCTCAGGCAGCTATTAGCCCTGAGTTATTCATGAACTAAGGGTCTATCCATATCAACACAAATTAAATTAGAAAGCTTCATGGACATTGTCTTTTTCTGTATTCAAGATTAAGATTTTGCAGCAAAGCTACAACAAAGTCTACAAACCTTAAACCAGACTGATGATCATTTTGCTTCTCAACACAACGTTATAAAGTAAATCTTCATGTCAGTTTGGTTCAGAAAGTATAAGTTAGCAAGACTAGACCCTAATTCTTCCTCTATTTTTATATTTCATTCCACTTTTCTTCTACAAGTAGTTATTAGATGTGAGCACAAAATTAATTAAACTAGGCTAAAAATATCAACCGTTAGATCAGTGCCTGAATGACCTTTAGGTAATTTGCTGTCAGAAAATGAGTATGTGGTTGTAGCAGATTCTTCTGGCCAAAGTCCTCTCTTACTGGCAGCCAACAGCCATAAATGGACCTATAAGGTCATACAGTGGCAAGTAAGCTAATCAAAGCAACCCTCCCCCCATTCTTGTGACCCTACCCTACCCCTCCAGCCTTCCCATATACATACATCACATCTCCTTGGTAGGGTAGGCTGAAGGACCTCCAGTTTCAGACCCCCAGGCACTTTTTCTCAATAAATGTTCCTTTTTCTCTTGAGATGGTGCCTCCTGAGGCTTACTCCAAACCCTAATATCAACCTTACACATAAATATATAATTACAAACTCACCATTTTCTTTGTACTGTTATGACAGGCTTTGCTAGACACAGCAGCTGGTCCAAATTAAACTCTGATAATCTGTCTGTATCAGGATATTATTACTTTGAACCCCAAGTATGAATAGACAGCAAGAGTCATGTTTATATTTAAATTTTATTTATTTAATGTGTTCACAAAAGTTGACAAAAGAGTTTAAAATTCTTATAAATTTATGTTGAAATAAAAGCATAAATTTCTAGAAAAAGGCATAAAATCTAAGACACAAATTTATGATCCTAACAATCAAGTAGTAGAATTCAATCATACTGCTGACTTTTTGGCAGAGAATATTGAGTCATAGAAGATACTGTGGATGGAAATAACCAACTCTGCAAAAATAAATATTTCTAAGCACAAATTTGAATGACCTAGGCCCAGAGAGAAGGCAAAACATGTCTTTCTTGGGGTGATCAAGTGCAGGGGTTTCTTTTATTTGATATCAATCCTCAATACTTATCAATTACTTTGCTCTAGTGATGAAATGGAGCCTTCTTAGGATTCATCTGTAGATTCTAAAGCTCAAAGAAGAAATCCAATCAAAGGAACACATTTTCTAATGTTAAAAGTATATGTAATTCTGAAAACATGGCTGTCTTCCTAAAGTCACTCATTCTACATCACCTTCCTTCTTGTTTACCTTCCTATTATTTTATGCAAACAAAACTAAACATTTTTCTTTACTCACATTAAATCACATATGAAAAAATACTTTAACAAGAATAAAAAATTAAATATTAAAAGACTGTATATGTGTTCTTGAATGTAATTCACTACAATCTATCTATTAATGGTAAACTCTTAAGGGGAAAAAGGGCATCTTGATCTTCAGATGTTGATGATTGGTTGTGGTATTTTCATAACTTTCAGTTTAGAGAATCTCTCATTGAGTGAAAACCTAGTCTGTAAAGGAAAGAAAAGCTATGATTTTGGCAATCTTACAAAATATTCATGAAATTTGGTTACTAAAAATAGAGAGTGGCTGGGGGAGACTCTAAGTGAGAGGTGGAAGCCTCTGTGAGTTTGAAAAGCTGCAAGAGCTGTTTTTCTGTGACCCTAGAAGCATGAGTAGTTTGCTTTGTCTCTGATTTACTACCAAGTCCATTTCTTGGTTCTTTTTTTTTTTAAGGTTTTTGCCATAGGGTATGCACACTTGCCAGAGAGGAGAGAGACAGGGAGAGAGAAAGTAAAAAATCACTCCTTAAAGGGGATGGCCATGCCACAATCCCTTCTCTTTTATTCTCCTCCCGGGATTTTGGGTATGTACAAACATGTGCTAGGCATGAGTTTCAAGCCTCCAGGACTGAGACTCGAACCGCAGTCACCCATGTGAGAGTCCAGGCACCTTAACTACCACACCACCTGCTGGCCCTTATCTCTTGGTTTTTAAAGGCTAAACAGTGGCATAAAAGTGCTTTAATGGAAGGGCAGGGAAGAAACCATACTCATTACCTCACAGAGTTAGTGAGTAAGGTTCCACAATGCAATCAGGTTCAGAATGGCTTCTATGTAGTAGAAATCAAATGCCTCGACCATCCTCATAGATTTGGTGATCTGTCTTGAAAAGACAATCCTAGAACCAAGGACCAACTAGAAAACCTCAAAGTTCTCCAAAGACTTAACTTCCAATCTCATCCATATATACTGTAGACTGCCACTGACTCTGTTTCTTTATCTTCCAGAAATACCCCTTCCAACACTACATCCTACATCAGAAATGAGATCAACAGTGCTCTGAGGCACAGGTTGTCTGTATTTATTACTATACATTACCTGTTTTACATTTATGGGTCATATACTTTTTATGCAGAATACAATCATAACATGGAAGAAACTGTTCTCTGGTTAATTTAATCTATTCTAACTGAAGGTTGGTCTGGTAAGCGTAACTGTCTCCTTGACCAGTGAGAATCCTGTAGTGCTTTATGGCCACCACAGATATAAACATATAATACATTGGGCTAAATCCATATTCAACTTGAAGATCACTTAAAAAGAAAAATACAGTGTGTCAGAAACAGGTGGTGTGGTGGTTAAAAGCTCTGAATTCTTACATGGACAACCATGGTTCAAGTCCCAGACATGGAGGCTTGAAAATCATGCTAGGTATGTGTACATGCATGCCTAAAATCTCAGGGAAAGATAGAGAAAAAGGGACTGCACCGTAATCTCTCCAATGGGGGACAGTTTCTCACTTTCTCTCTCTATCTCTGTCTCTGGTCAGCCCACACACCCTATGACAAAAACCTAAAAATAAAATAAGGATAATAATTGAGGTTGGCTTTTTTTGTTTTGTTTTGTTTTGTTTTTGACTTTCGTCTTTCTCACAAAGGTGAGAACAGGGATAAGATTGCATGTTTATTAAGGATTTACTAACATTCATTATTATAGATAAAATACTTATATATACACCAAGCGGGCCTAAAATAAACCCAAATTCTTTGACATCTTGAGAACAAGCTTACTGTGCAATATTATAACATTTACCTGATTACCCACTGCTTGAAAGTTGAATTTCAGATATATTCCTTTGGGCTGGTACACAGAACTCTCGGCTGAAGTATACTTATTCTTAATGAACAAAGTTTTAATCCCACGGTTTACGAATCTGTCAATAAAGCATATTTAATAATAAAGGGCCAACTCTATGGTCTGGTGTTTAAGGCATCTAGAGTCTCACATGGCCAACCATGCTGTTCATCTTGGACCCAGCAGTTTGAGAAACACCCTGGACACGTGTGTGTACAAGCCTAAAATCCTGAAAGGAGGGAGAGATGGGGGAGAAGGCATTGAGATGTGACCATTCCCCATGTGAGGACTTTCTCCTCTCCTTCTCTCTCAGTCCCTCCCTCTCTCTGGCTAGTGCATACACCCTCTAGCAAAAAATAAAAATAAGTATGTGTCTGACAGTCACTAATTAGAAGAGCATCTTTGGGTCATTCACCTTAACTTCTCAAAGTCTCATTTTTACCAGTTGTAAAGTAAAGAAGGTATATTTAACAATCTTCAAGTTTCCTTTTACTAATAAGATTCTAAGTTCTAAATCAGAAAGTATTTGTGCAACATTTAAGAGGATCAAGAATGCACTAATCTATCCTTTTTAATATTGTTATTTCAAACTCCTTAGATGAGTATTTCTTTGTTTTATATTCCATTAATATTTTATTTATAGACACTGAAATTTTTGTAATTTTTTTGTAACACAAAATATTAATTTCCTTTTTATTTATTTTTAATATGTAAAATACAAAGGTTAATCTCAACTTGCAAGCAATACAAAAACAGATGAGGGCTGGATATCATCCTCAAGCTCTAGTGTGCTGACAATTTAGATAGATATGCTATAGAGGCATAAAAATCGTTTATAAAATTCAGTTACACATAATTAATAATATCAAACAGAAAAATTGCATCTTTTTTTTAAGTTAGTCAATGATGGATTCTTAAAAAATTCTGGGACTTATACTCTATAATTAGGAAGAGAAGACAAGAAATAAGGAGTCAAGGGACCAGCAGATGGTGTAATGGTTATGTCACTGCACTCCCACATGGCTGACTGTGGTTCAAGTCTCAGTAGATGAGTTTTTCCATTGTTTAAATTCCAAAGCAGTTTTACTATTATGTTTTAAATAATTATTTAATTTTACTTATTATTATTATTTTAATTTTGCTATAGAGCATGTGTGCTTTCCAAAGAGAGAGAGACAGAGAGAGAGAATATGTGAGCAAGTAAGTCACCAGGTCTGGGACTCAAACTGTGGTCAACCATATGGAAGTCTAGCACCTTAATCACCATGACACCTGCTGGCCCCAGTTTTACTACTATTTAAGTATAGTTATGCCTATAAGCATTTTAGAACAAAAGTGTCTAGAACCTCAATAAGGAAAAAAAATGGATTCAAGGCTGCCTTGAGCTGCAATATGTTTGGAGGTGGGGTTGCCTTGGACAGGGGAGGGAGTGGAGAGAAGGGGAAGTGATGGCTAAAGGGTACAGAGCTCCTTTTGAGTACTCTGTACTCAAGAGGGGATAGTAAAGATGTTCCAAAGTTAGATTATGGTGGCAGTTGCACAACTCTGTTAATATACTAAAAACCACTGAATTGTAGACTTTAACCTTGTGAACTTTATGGTATGAAAATTTTGCTAGAATAGAGTTATTACAAGAAAAAGATAGCTGGAGCACATGGATACACAGTAATTAATATGAAAAACAGCACTGGCTGGGACCAGCAGTTAGCATAATGGCTATGTCACTGGACTCCCATGTAGTTGACTGCAGTTCAAGTCCCGGAGCCAGTGGCTTCAACTCACACCGGGCGCATGTGTGTGCATGTCCAAGATCCCGAGAGGAGAATGGAGGAGAAGGGATTGTGGTGTGGCCATCCCCCCTGGGGGGTGATTTCTCACTTTCTGTCTCTCTATCCTATCTCTGTTTTCTGGAAAGTGCATGCACCCTATAGCTAAAGCCTCTAAAAAAAAAAAAAGAAAAAGAAAAGAAAAACAGCAATGGCTTTGCAAAATTTTCATTCTGCCATGTCACAGAGGCTGACAGTGGGTCTGGTTCTCTTGCTTTGTGTTAATATAGCAGTATTTCATGTAAATATGCAGTAAGGAAGTTAAAAAAAAGGATGTCTGGGCCAGCAGGTGATGTGCTGATTAGGGCACTGGATTCCCACATGGTTGACCGTGGTTTGAGTCCCAGACCCGGTCGCTTGAAAATCACAACAAATAAATAGATAAATACATAAATGTTCTTTTAAAAACTGGGGTGGCAACCATGCTGTTTAATTCCTGGACCTGGTGGCTTGAAAAACACACTGGGTGTATGCACGAGCCAGAATCCCAAGAGGAAACTGGAGAAGGGATTGTGATTTGGCTACCTCCTTGGCAGGGTACTTTTTTTTTTCCTGTTTCTCTGTGGGGGGGGTGTGCACATGCCCTGTAGTAAATTTTTTAAAAAGTCATGGCTAAATAGTTTAGTGGAATATGTTTACCACATGTAGTCATACTGTGTGAAAGATAGGGTACAACAAAAGTCTACCTGCTGTGTGGTTATGGTGATACTGTCAGGTAAATTGCTGTAGTCCATGGTTCTAAAATAAGTCAGTCATTTTTTTCACTGTTTATTTTGTTTGTTTGTTTGTTTGTTTGTTTGGACTGATTATACAGATTGTACCTACCAGGACTCAATTGGACCAAAAACTTATCTGGTTTGGACAAAAAGGAAAAAGAGTGCTCTGAGTAAGTAAAATGTTAGTCTCCTGATTAATTGATTTTATTAATTTTTTGTTTGGAGAGGTTTTTGCTATAGGACACGTGAACTCGCCAGAAAGACAGAGAGAGACAGAGAGACAGAAAGTGAGAAATCATCCCCCCCCCCAGGGGGATGGCCACATCGCAATCCCTTCTCCTCCATTCTCCTCTTGGGATCTTGGGCAAGCACGCACACACACTCTGCGTAAGTTTTTAAGCCACTGGGTCTATGACTCGAACCATGGTCAACTACATGGGAGTCCAGTGACTTAACCATTTTGCCATCTGCTGGTCCCACTACAAAAAACTTTTAAAGAAGAGAAAAACCTTTCATTCTTGAAATGCCTAATTTTAATTGTTATGGATTATGCTAAATGCACACGAAGGATATTTTAGCCATTCCCAAACTAAAGGCAAAAATATGCTAGAATAATTTAAATCTTATAATAAGCAAAGTGAGATAAGATATAATAACAACTCTGGAATTTAGGCTATCTTAAGAAGCAGAGTAGCCTCTGAATAACAGTCATCAAGGACATGTGAACCTCACTGTCACAACCCCTGGTTAGTTGCTTGATTTCAGCTTGGCGAGTCATTAGGTAAAGAACCAGACAAGCGTGCCTGGACATTTGACCTATAGAACTATCAGAAAATAAATTATGGCTGTTTAAGCTGCTATTTGTGGTATTTTGTTTAAGCATCAATGGAAAACTAATACACTAAGCTTTTCTTTCTTAATTATTATTATTTATTTATTTATTTCACATGAGTTTTGCTAGAGAAAGACAGAGTGAGAGTTGAGAGAGGGAGCGTTAGAAAGCAAGCCGCCATGGGAACCGACAGTTAGCGTAATGGCTATGTTGCTGGACTACCACGTAGTTGACCGCGGTTTGTGTCCTGGACCCGGTGGCTTAGAACTCACGCCAGGCGCGTGTGCGTGCGTGCCCAAGATCCCGAGAGGAGAATGGAGGAGAAGGGATTGTGGCGTGACCATCCCCCCTGGGGGGTGATTTCTCGCTTTCTGTCTCTATGTCTCTGTCTGTCTGTCTGGGGAGTACACACGCCCTATAGCGAAAACCTCCCCCCACCAAAAAAAAAAAAAGAAAGAAACCTGCCAGGTCCAGGACTTGAACAGCAGTAGCCCATATGAGGATTCCAGCACCTTAACCACTACCTGCTGGCCCGATACTAAGCATTATTTTTTTTAAAAGTACTTATTTTATTTATTATTCTCATCATTATTATTTTTAAGTTTGCTATAGAGTATATGTGCTCACCAGAGAGAGACAGAAAGAGAGAGAGAGAGAGGGAAAGTGAGAAAGGAAGTCACCAGGTCTGGGACTTGAACCACAGTAGTAGACCATGTGGGAATCCAGTGCTTTTACCAATGTGCCACCTGCTGGCCCCTATACTAAGCTTTTAAAGAATTTAACATCCGCTTTACCTGTGGAGAGACAATATGGGAGAGTAGAAAGCCCATGGATTTTTGTGGTCACACAAGCAAAATGTGAATAGTTTCTACCACTTACTAGTTGTATAATTTCAGGGAAAATGATACACCTTATTGAGCATTAGTTTATGCATATGTAATATGGAAATAATACCTATTGCATAGGACTGTGGCGCTAAATTAAATCACAGATGCAAACGTTCTTACTTAGCTCAGTGCATAGCACATAATAGTCACTCAGTAAATGCTAGCTATTATTATTAACCTGCTTTTAAGTCCACAGCTCTATCAATCCTTTCAAGGATGCCTAAGGTTAGGCTCATTTCAAAGGGAGTATAATAGCAGTCTTCCCTCTTGGCTATGGATCTAAAAGGATACTTAGATGTTCCTGATATCAGTGCTGGGATTGAGCATAAACCACCCCTGAATATGGCTGTAGGCAACCAGAATAAGCTATCCCAAATATGCCTCTTTTCCATAAGAATTATGCTGACCTTATTTTGATAAAAGGCAGAAACAGAAGCTTTGAGAACAGTGAAGTTACCCTATGTAAGAGACATTTCTATCTTTAAAGGAAACATCTATATGGGGCCAGCAGATGGTGTGGTGGTTAAGGTGCTGGATTCCCACATGGCCAACAGTGGTTCGAGTCCCACACCCGACAGTTTAAATATCACACTAGGCACCTGTGTGTGCATGTCCAAAATCTCAGAATGAGAATGGAGGAGAAGGGACTGTGGTGTGGTCAGACTCCCTGCGGGGTGAGTTCTCACCTTCCCTCTCTCTCCAGTGAGTGCACACGCCCCATGAAAAAAACAAGTTTAAAAATTAAAAGAAAAAAAAGAAAATTTCCATTTGCAAGTGTGTTTTCCTCTCTGTATCAGGAAAAGAAATGTTAGCAACAAACCTTGCTCTTGCTACTTTTCTTTCTGAAGTTGGGAGGTATCTAACCTGTTGGCAGAACTCCTTATCTGATTTTTTAAAAAGAATTATTTTATTGAACTTTATTTTATGTATGTATGTATGTATGTATTTATTTATTTAAATTTGACCAGGGACAGAGAGAGAGAGAAGGAAAGTGAGAAAGCAAGAAGCCAGGTCTGGGACTCAAACCATGGCTGGCCATGTGGGAGCCCAGTGTCCTTAATCACCATGCCACCCCCAGCCCCTTGTTACCTTTCTTAACCATCTCCTACTCCTATAATTGGCCTTTCCCCACAGCCTTCTTTTAATTTTTTTTGAGAGTTTTTTTTTTTTTTTTTTTTTTTTTTTTTTTTTTTTTTTTTTTTTTATTGGGGACTTTTTGCTACAGGGCACATACACTCGCCAGAAAGCAGAGAGAGACAGAGAGATAGAAAGCGAGAAATCACCCCCCCCACACACGGGGGATGGCCACGCTGCAATCCCTTCTCCTCTAGGGATCTTGGGCATGCACACACACTGCCCAGCATGAGTTTAAGCCACCGGGTCCAGGACTCGAACCGCCTTCGACTACAAGGGAGTCCAGCAACATAGCCATTATGCTAACTGTTGGTCCCAGCCTTCTTTGTTTTAAGGAGGATGATATTGAAGCCTGAAGTCTAAGACAACTCTTTGGGATTGACTCTCGAAATTTACTCTTGGAGAGTTCCCTGAGCATCTCCCATATATACAAGAATTATACCTGTTAATGAACTTTCGTGTTTTTTTTTTTTAAGGTTTTTTTTTTTTAAGGCTTTTGCCATAGGGCACATGTGTTCACCAGAAAGAGACATACAGAGGAAGAGAATGAGAGAAATCACCATCGTCCCTGGGGTGGGGTGAGCAGGGGAGGATGGCCACACCTCAATCTCTTTTTCTCTGTTCTCCTCCTGGGATTTTGGGCACACACGCACACACGCCTGGAGTGAATTTTAAGCTGCTATGTCTAAGACTAGAACCGCAATTAGCTATGTGAGAGTCTAGTGCTAAAATCACTATGCCACCTGCTGGCCCCATGTTTGTTTTACTTTGGTTAATCTTTTGTTTCAGGGGTCCATAGCAACAAAGAACTCAAAAAAGATAGCAGAAAAATTATTGTTTCCTACCCTACATCATCACTGGGCAAAGTCCTCTATTATTGGAGCTAAGGTCATTTAGAACACTGAAATTTATTTAGCATGAAAAACAGAAGAACTTGGGACCAGCAGTTAGTGTAATGGCTATGTCGCTGGACTCCCATGTAGTCAACCGTGGTTCGCGTCTCAGACCCGGTGGCTTAAAACTCATGCCGGGTGCGGGTGCGTGCGTGCCCAAGATCCCAAGAGGAGAATGGAGGAGAAGGGATTGTGGCATGGCCATCCCCCCTGGGGGGTGATTTCTCGCTTTCTGTTTCTCTGTCTCTCTCTCTGTCTGGTGAGCGCACGCGCCCTATAGCAAAAATCTCTCTCAAAAAAACAAAACAAAACAAAACAAACGAACAAACAAACAAAACAGAAGAACTTTAAATCTTAAGATCGAAAATAAGGAAAAATCTTCATGGCAGTGATTTCTTCAGGGTTACAACTGCATGCTTTAAAGCAGAAATGCTATAACAACAAAACACTTATACCCACCATTAGAAAATGATGTGTGAAAATCTCTTAAGTAAAAATAAACTCAAACCAGGCATTTTTACTAAAAAATTTTGCAGTTCTACATTAGGATTATTAACACAAGTTGTAATGCATTGTTCAGAGTCTAAGTCTAGAGGCCCCCTACTGGGAATTACATTTATCTATTTTTGTTTCATATTTTCCCCTAAAAATAATTGAATTTAGTTGTAAAGATATTTGTCCACAATTACCTTTGATATCTTTTAATATTTCCACTTGATTTGAGCTCATCTTCCGGTGTTATCTAAATGGTAAAAATTGAGACAAATCACGTAAAAGCTATCATTAGTCAGCATAAAGTGATTATCATCTATATTTAAAATGGAATCAACAGTTTCAGTGACAATATTCTCTTTGCTTGATCCTTGTCTAATATTCAATTTCAGGTTTTTCACCCCGATTTATAAATGCAAGAATGTCAAAGCCAGTGGACCTCTAGAAATCAAGTAGTCCGGGCTGGTGAGTGGCATGGTGATTAAAGTGATAGACTCCCATGTGGCCGACCTTGGTTCGAGTCCTGGACCCAGCAGCTCGAAACTCATGTTGGGCATGTGCGTGCGTGCCCAGAATCCCAAGAGGAGAATGGAGGAGAGGGGATTGCAGCATGATCATTTCCCCTGTGAGGTGATTTCTCGCTTTCTGTCTCTCTCTGTCTCTGGTGAACACATGTGTCCTAGAGCAAAATTCTCTAAAAAAGCAAAGAAAAAGAAATCAATCAGTCCAATCTCCTTCCATAACAGATAAGGAAACCAGGATTCAGAAAAGTCAAATGACTTCTTCCCCAAGGCCTAATAGCTAGCTTGTTTGGATCTAGGGAAAAGAGTATAGTTATGGGGCCACTAGATGGCACAGTGGTTAAATCACTGGACTCCCACGTGGCCATTGGTTGTTCAAGTCCCAGACCTGTTGGCTTGAAAATCATGCCAGGCATGTGTGTGTGTGTGTGTGTGTGTGTGTGTGTGTGTGCGCACAAGATCCCAGGGGGAAAATGGATTGGAGTGTGGCCATCTCCCCTGGGGATGATATCTCACCACAGGGCAACCAGAATAACACACCAGGCACATGAGTGTGCATGCCCCAAATCCTAATAGAATATAGAAATGAAAGAGAAAAGATTGCAGTGTGACATGTCATGGAGAGGAGGGTGCTCTCTCTCCCCGTCTCTCTCTGTGTCTCTCTCTTTCTTTCTGGTGAGTGCACACACACTCTGGCAATAAAAATAAAATAATACATGCTAATAATAAATGTTTGTATAATCTATTGCCATTTTTGTGTAATGTCCTAGAAAGCTAAATCCTATAAAGTAGGAGTGGAGGTAATAGAAGGGAAGAGGAAAACTTTTGCAAATAACTGTACTATAAGGCTGAAAACATTTGATTCATGTAGAAATATATGACATGGTATGTAGCTTCTTCATTCATACACTGATGGTGGTAAACAGGTTTTAGAATTCATTAAAGCAATCATCAGGGACCAGCAAGTGGCATGGTGGTTAAGGCACTGGACACTCCCACATGGCCAACCATGGTTCAAGTCCTGGACCTAGTGGCTTGCTTTCTCACTTTCCCACGCTCTCTCTCTGTGTGTCTCTCTCTGGTCAAATTAAAAAAAAAAAGAATAAATAAAATTAAAATTAAAAATTCTAAAAAAGAGATTTTTTTAAAAAAAGAATTAATTATAGCAATCATCAATATAAATAAATGTCAGAATTAACTATTAGAAGAAATAGACTGCAAAGATAAAGTCAATTCAAATGATATATATTAATAAAATCACAAATATCCTGAGCTATTAAGTTGAAAGTGTTGACACTGGGGCCAGAAGGTGGCATGGTGGCTGAGGGCACTGAACTCCCACATGGCCGACCATGGTTCAAATCCCTGTGCTGGAAGCTTGATTTCTGACTTGCCCCTTCTCTCTCTCACTCTGTCCCTCTGTGGTCAAATTTAAATAAATAAATAAATAAATTTAAATTAAGCTTTTTTTTTTTTTTTAAAGAAAGTGCTGACACTTACCCCTTGGATTGTATTCACTGGATGATCTCTGTGTTGCATGTGTTCCTGGAAAGACTCATTCTTTTCTTGCATTACAAGAGACTTGCTATTAATAACAAAGGGTGATGATTTAAAAAGCAATCTTTTACTTTGAATGAAACTACAATATTATTTAGAATACATGTCATCAAGCAACATGCTTTTATTATATACATTTAAAACATCTGATTTAAGACTAGACCAGGATGAAATTAAAATCCAGAATGGTGTTTTCATAAGCAATTTTCACCTTAGATATAAATTATTCTTATCACATGCATAATAAAGATTAGCATTTAATCAGGCATATTGCTGGATATTTTTGTTTAAAAATCCAGTTTTCTAGAAGTGATGTCAGCAAGATAGCTATCATGGACTAGATGTTTGCATCTTCCAAATCATATATTGAAGCTCTAACCCCCAATCCAATGATAGCTTTTTTTTTCTCTTTTTTTGGAGAGGTTTTTGCTATAGGGCGCGTGCGCTCGCCAGACAGACAGAGAGAGACAGAGAGACAGAAAGTGAGAAATCACCCCCAAGGGGGGATGGCTACGCTGCAATCCCTTATCCTCCATTCTCCTCTTGGGATCATGGGCACGCACACACACGAGCCTGGCGTGAGTTTAAGCCACCGGGTCCGGGACTCAAATCGTGGTCAGCCATGTGGGAGTGTCCAGCACCTTAACCACCACGCCACCTGCTGGTCCCTAATTTGCCAATGATGTTTGAAGAGAGAACTTGTAAGAGGTGGTTATATTAATTTACTTTATTTTTTCAAATTATTTTATTTAACTTTATTTTAATTTGACTAGAGAAGGCCAGAGCAAGGGGGGGGGGGGGTGAGGTAGGGGGGAGAAGAAAACAAGTCACTGGGTCTGGGACTTGAACTGCAGTCGGCCATGTGGGATTCCAGTGCCCTTAACTACCATGCCACCTGTTGGTCCCAAGGTACTTATATTTATAAGGGCAAGGCTCCCATGATGGACATTGTGTATTTCTAATAAGAATAATAGACTAGAGTTTGCTGTCTCTCTGCCACGGAAGAAAGCCCTCACCAGAACTCAACCATACTAACATCCTAATCTTGAATTTCCAGCCTTTAGAACTGAGATAAATTCCTATTTAAGCAACCAAGTCTATGGTATTTTGATATGGCAGCCCAAGAAGTCTAAGACAAGAAGCCTAAGACAATATTGACTAGGAAATTACAGGCCTTCCTCCCTCATAGATATATAAAATTAATAACGATATGTGAACCAGATTACCTCTGCAAGAATTCTAGAGACCCCTTAAAAATCTACAGCATCCAGGCCATTGTAAAGCCGATAAGAGACTCCAGCAAAAGGGGTAGGAAAATCACATCTGGTACACCCATTTGTGTTCTTCCCTGCTATGGAACATAGCATAGAGGAAGTGGGAAGAAACCCCCATACTGGGAATACAAGCTAAAGAATGGACATTGCATCCAACATTTTGACATTCCTGGAGGCTGCCCACTGAATTGGTTTATGACTCAGCTCTCTCAGAGTACTGATTGAACTATGGTTAAAGTTTAGAAGTCACTAACAGTGGCAAGCAACAAGTTAAGTTGCAGTTCTCTAGGCATATGCCAGAAGGAGTAAGAGATAAATGGTTTGAGAGGTTCTAGAACATCCAGTTGAGCTGATTAGTGAAGGTCTTCTCTTGTATGAACAAAATGAGAATATCAACAGAGACAGCAAGTATAAAAAAGAACCAAACAAATTCTGGGGCTGAAAAATACAGTAACTAATCTGAAAAATATATTTGAGGGGTTCAATATCAGACTTATTCAGGCAGAAAAAATAATGAACAAACTTGAAAACAGGTCCTTTGATATCATCAAATCAAAGAAGCAAAATTAAAAAAGAATAAAAGTGAAGAAAGCATTAAAGGCTTATGGAGCACTGGGACCAGCAGATGGCATAATGGCTATGTCACTGGACTCCCATGTAGTCCACCATGGTTCAAGTCTCGGACCTGGTGGCTTAAACTCACACCAGGTGCATGTGCAAGATCCTGAGAGGAGAATGGAGGAGAAAAGATTGCAGAGTGGCCAACCCCCCTGTGGGGTGATCTCCCTTTCTGTCTCTTTGTCTTTCTGGTGAGTCCACGTGCCCTATAGCAAAAGCCTCTCAAAAAAAAAAAAAAAAAGAAAAAAGAAATGAAGAGGAATCAAAGTATATCATTATCAAAAAAATCAATCAATGAAACACAAAGAAAGGCAGAAAAAAAAGAAAAAGACAAAAAAGCTACCAAAGCTACCAAACTTACATAAAATGGGTAAGTCCTTCCCTATCAGTAATTACTTTTAAATGGAAATGCATTAAACTCCCTAATAAAAAGACACAGACCGGTTGAATGGATAGAAAAAAAACAAAAACAAAAACAAAAAACAGGAGCCTCCTGTATGCCATCTACAAGAGACTCACTTGAGTGCTACGGACACACACAATCTGTGAAATGGTTTGGATAATGGCTTGTCTCCCCCAAAATTCACTTTTAAATATTTGGTCCCTAATATAATGGCATTAGGAGGTGATTAGACCTTGAAGAAGAATATCCACCTTCAATGTGGGTGGGTACCATCCAATCAGTTTGGAGTATGGGAGGGACAGACAGAGGAAGTAGAAAAATTGTTTCTTCTCTCTTTCTCTCTTTGTATGTGGCTACTAAACTGCCTGCATCTCCTGGTTATGTTGTAACAAAACACCAGACTTTGGTCAAATGCCTGACTTGTGCTCTTAGATTTTCCGACCACTAGATTCGTGAGCCAAATCAACTTTTCTTATAAATTATCCAGTTTCAGGTATTTTCTGTTTGGCAACATAATAATAGATTAATGAAAGCCAAAAGTGAAATGATGGAAAAAGTAATTCTACTTAAGTGGTAACCAAAAGAGAGCAGGAGTAGCTATAATAGTAACAAATCAAGCATATTAGTTTCTACTATCAAACAAACTAGACTCTAAGCAAAAAACTGTTAGAAGTGGGCCAGAAGGTGGTGGTGTGGTGGTTAAGTGCTAGATTCCTATATGGTCAACCATGGTTCAAGTCTTGGACCTAGTGGCTTGAAAATCACATGTGTGTACATGCCAGGCACATGTGTGTACATGCCCAAAATCCTGAGAGGAAAATGGAGAAGGGATGGTGATGTGACCATTCTCTCTGGAAGATGATCTCTCACTTTCCCTCTCACCATCTCTGTTTCTCTCTTATGTGAGTGCACATACCCTAAGGCAAAAACATCTCCAAAAAAGTACACTATATAAAATAAAACAGTTAATTTATCAAGATGATATAATAATTATATATATTTTTGCACCAAATCTTAGAGCTCTAGGAAGCAAACTTTGACAAAATTGAAAGAAGAAATAGGCAGCAAGACAGTAATACTAAAGACTTAAATATTCTACTTTTGATAACAGATAGAGTGATTAGACAGAAGAGCAATTAAAAAAATAGAGTTTTAACAACACTGTAGAATAATTGTACCTAACAGAACTAAAAAAAAATTTCACCCAACAGCTGCAGAATATACATTTTTCTTTTTTCTTTTCTTTTCTTTTTTTTTTTTTTGAGAGGTTTTTGCTATAGGGCGCATGCGCTCGCCAGACAGAGAGAAACATAGAGACAGAAAGTGAGAAATCACCCCCCAGGGGGGATGGTCACGCCGCAATCCTTTCTCCTCCATTCTCCTCCTGGGATCTTGGGCATGCACACACACGCGCCCAGCGTGAGTTCTAAGCCACCTGGTCCGGGACGCAAACCGTGGTCGACTACGTGTGAGTCCAGCAACATAGCCATTACGCTAACTGATGGTTCCCAATATACATTCTTCTAAAGTGAACATGGAGCATTCTCCAGAATAGATCATATGTTAGACCATAAAATAAGTCTTAATAAATCTAAGAAGACTGAAATCATACAAAGTATCTTTTTTGATTCCAATAGCACAAGAAAAACCAGAAAATCTTCAAATACATGAAAATTAGAACAACCAATGGATTAAAGAAGTCACAAGAAAAATTAGAAATTACCCTGAGGGGCCAACAGGTGGCGTGGTGGTTAAGAACACTGCACTCCCACATGGCCAATAGGAGTTCCAGTCCCAGACCGGGTGGCTTGCTTTCTCACTTTCCCTGTAAAAGCAGTGCTAAGAGGAAAATTTGTAGCTATAAATGCATACATTGGAAAAGAAGATCTCAAATTAACCTAACATTACAACTCAAGAAACTAGATAAAGAACAAACAAAGCTAGTAGAAGAAAGGAAATAATAAAATGAAGATAATAAATTGCTTGTCATCAGCATTAACATATTTTAATTTTTATAGCAAATTATGTTTACTGATAAGTACAATGGGACCTTTTTGCGTTAAAATGGTACCTGCCTGAGGCATTTTATATATGCAATAATTCACATGCACATTTTGTAAGTAATTTTTTACCTGAAATAATAATTAGTGCAGTGTTTAATATGAACTAAAATATTTGACATTTATAGTCAATGCAAACTAAACAATCACTCAGAAATCGAAACTAAAAACACAATTTACTGAACGACTTAAGAAACTGTAACAATAAATGTTTTGCATTTTTAAAAACGCAGTCCACAATACTATTTAAAATTCTATGGATCTTGGGGCTGGCAGGTGGTGTGGTGGTTAAGGTGCTGGACTCTCACATGGCCAACCATGGTTCAATTCCTGGACCTGGTGACTTGCCTTCTTACTTTCCCTCTCTCTCTCACTGCGCCTCTCTCTTGTCAAATTAAAATAAATAAATAAATAAATAAATAAATTTAAATAAAATAATTCTTTAAAAACGA